ATTTACAGCACCAATACTGCCTTTTCACAATACTCTTGGTTGATTGATCTTTAAATATAAATCTGGTTGCTATGCATAAATTATGAATAAAAGTACCCACTGCTGTAGTGATGATTTCCATGGTCAATATACACCTATGAAACAATAACTGCCTATGTAAGTAAATAATTATTTAAAAAATTGCATTCAATTTTTTCTACATTTTACTTTAAGAAAAATCTAGTCTAACCTCCAACACGCAAGCATCAATCATCAGCATTTTCCAATAATTTTATTAAATAAAAAAAAATGTTGCAACCAACTGCAATCCCAATTTTTCTGAATCTACAAATTCTTGGCAGCAAACAAACAAGTTTCTAATCTAATACATAAATTCCAATAAAACAAAAGAAATTTTACATCTTTGTTACAGGATATCATGCCAGGCAATGAATGCTCATTATGTCCTCATAAATCTGGTTGTTTTCTTTAGAATTCAGCACAAGACCATCCTCATAAGATCTTTAATTGTTCATCTGTTGAATCTCAGAAAAACAAAGTTGACATCTTTATGTTCCCCTGTGGTGTTTTACTAGAAGAAGGTTCTACCAAATATATTTGAAGTTAGCCTTAGGGTCAATGCAATTAATACTCAGCAAAATAACATCACCCAAAAATACCGATCTTTGGAAAGCACTCAAGAACAGAAGGTAATGTGGATTCTGCAAATCAAACGATTATTACCAAATCCTCCTCCTGTGATAAATAGTGACTCCCTTTCCCTATGTGTGATACTGCAAATTCCCTTTCCATGTGTGTGACACAGCAACATTAACTTTCCTTTATGTGTGACACTGCAACATACTTGAGAAGAAATCTTAAAACCATGTACCTTGCCAAAACCATAAAAACTGACACGTACAAAAGTAACTAAATTCCCAGTAATCAGGAAGTAAAGATTGGGTCCACCCAACCTGATACTAGTATTATAAGTTTTTATGTTTAGTATCTACATCAGTCATCAGTTTGACTGTAATGTAAGCAATGTTTGTTGGAGCTTCTTCTAAAGCAAAAATATTCAAGATAAAATACAGCTGATATTGGTAACCATGGTAACATTTTCCTTGGCAAATATCCATGGTAACAGTTAAAATGGGTATTTATGCTAACATTACAGGCAAGTAGTTTTTGGTAATAGTCTCTACAAAGACAGGTTCATCTGAATTTTTTATTGCTTGATACAGTTTGAGCAAGATTGCTGTCTATTTAATAACAGGGATTGAACAGGTGAATTTCTGGCATTTCTGATATCTTCTAATTTTAACAGACTAGACTTCTCTTTCATTTATCTATCAAATTGTCTATCCTGATTGATGGTTTTTTAATTGTGTTCAACAGAATGTCTCCACCTGTCTGTCTGTTACTGATGCAACAATCTCTAACAGGTGTACCCTAACAGTGTGATTATCTGACATAACTGCCATGCATCAGTATGCAGGTGTAACTTAACAGTGTTATGGACTCACATAAATATCAGTTGCAGGTGTACTATAACATGTGATGGTCTTATATAAATATCATATGCAGGTGTACCATAACAGTGTGATAGTCTCATATAAATACCATATGCAGGTGTACCATAACAGTTTGATTATCTGACATATGTCATACATTAATATGCAGGTGTAACCTATTACTGTGATTATCTTGCAAATCTGTCATATGCAGGTGTACCCTAACAGTATGATTATCTAGCAAATCTGTCATATGCAGGTGTACCATAACAGTATGATTATCTTGGATATATGTCATATGCAGGTGTACCATAACAGTGTGATTATCTTGCATATCTGTCATATGCAGGTATACCCTAACAGTATGATTATCTAGCAAATCTGTCATATGCAGGTGTACCATAACAGTGTAATTATCTTGCATATCTGTCATATGCAGGTGTACCATAACAGTGTGATTATCTTTCATATCTGTCATATGCAGGTGTACCATAACAGTGTGATTATCTTGCATATCTGTCATATGCAGGTATACCCTAACAGTGTGATTATCTTGCATATCTGTCATATGCAGGTGTACCCTAACAGTATGATTATCTAGCAAATCTGTCATATGCAGGTGTACCATAACAGTGTGATTATCTTGCATATCTGTCATATGCAGGTGTACCCTAACAGTGTGATTATCTTGCATATCTGTCATATGCAGGTGTACCATAACAGTGTGATTATCTAGCAAATCTGTCATATGCAGGTATACCATAACAGTGTGATTATCTTGCATATCTGTCATATGCAGGTGTACCATAACAGTGTGATTATCTAGCAAATCTGTCATATGCAGGTGTACCATAACAGTGTGATTATCTTTCATATCTGTCATATGCAGGTGTACCCTAACAGTATGATTATCTAGCAAATCTGTCATATGCAGGTGTACCATAACAGTGTGATTATCTTGCATATCTGTCATATGCAGGTATACCCTAACAGTGTGATTATCTTGCATATCTGTCATATGCAGGTGTACCATAACAGTGTGATTATCATACCTAACAGCCATGCCTCAATACTCATGCAGGGTTTATTCTAAAATGTTTGTGGGATTTTTTTTTATAAAAAAATCAAAATCTGGTTTAAAAAATCCTAATTCACAAAATTCTTGTTCTACATTTGCAATACCTAGCTTTATTTTGTTAGAAATTTATCCCCAATATTTCATACTGAGGTGGGAAGCCAGATTTCTCCCATTTTCGTTAGCTCTAGAATGGACCCTGTATAAGCAGTCTATGTAGCTTAATTAACGCTTTTTATTAAGCAGCTGGAAATATTGGGAACCAGACCAAATACTACCCTAGTATTTTGGCATTGGTTCCATAATGACTGACACTATGAAACATTTCATGATGCAAAGTATTCTATCTTGAGTTCTTTCACAGATCCTTCCTATTAATCATGGTAATTATTTTATTATTCTTTCCAAATATCATATTTATGAGACTGTGCCATGAAACACAAAATCCAACATGTACCGTATATACTCCTATCACGTCAAGTCCAACTGCAAGAAAAACAGACCCGCATCTGCTTTTGCAAAATGTGCTGGCAGATCAGGATCTATGATGTTTGTTCTACTGATTACTACTGACAAACTCCACAGACCCAGAACTGTCAGGACATTTTGAGGCAATTCAAGTGACTTGCCAATCTACAGCTATCCCCACCCCTTTACAAGATAGCTGCATTGCTTGAGTGGCATGTAAATCAAAATTGCATAACTAAAAAGTTTTGGTTTCCCTGCCTTTAATTTTCACCAAATAAAATGCAATTGAATAAACTTTACTACTTTTCATTTTAGCTATTTATAAATCCTAAATTTGGGGTTTTAAAGAAATAATTTCATTATCGTTTTTAGTCTTCACTAACAAATTTAAAAATAAAAAACATTTGTATCAAATCATGTAAACATGAAATCTGCTTAAACTGAAACTTCATAAGGTGCATACATAATTAATAGTACAATGTCTGCATACTTGTATGCACCACCATAATCAACTGGTGCTGATTTAATGGTATGATCTGAAATCACATATCCCTTTGATCTTTGCCAATCCCTAATTGACCTTATCTCATGCCTCTTTTGGTTGCCTTTTCTGATATGCACGGGATCTATTCTAACATCCTCAAGTCCATTCTATGTATCATAGCAGTATAGGAAGCTTAGGTCACTGTTCTCTGGGATCATTAATACACCCAAGGCTTAGTATTAGTTAATGTGTGCATATGTGTGTTTTGGATTTTTAATGTAGCTTCAACAATTTTTCAGTCATATTGCTACAATGTCTGCAATGTGGCAATTTACAGAGATGTCTAGCACTGGGGCATCATGCTACAAACATGTAGCATCATGTCCCACCCAGTCACATTATTCTGACACCAGGCGGACCAGTCACAACACTACCCTCTTAATGCTCAGCTTATAAGTCTGATATGACTCAACTGGGGTTCGAACCTGCAACATCCCACATCCAAGGTGGACATTCCAACCACATGTGTAGTGCTAGTGGAATAGTATAGGCAAGGCTTTGTATTAGTGCATTAATACCCACATGACTTTGTATTCCTGGATTAATACAGACAGGATTTTGTATTAGTGGATTAATATGGGCAGGACTTTGTATTAGTGGATTAATACAGACAAGGCATATATTAATGGATTAGAACAGACAATGCTTGGTATCTGTTGATTAATACTGGCAAAGCTTTGTATTTACCTTTAATGAATGTTAACATAGGTGATAAATAAGAATGTACTAATAAAATTGCATGAATATACATGCAAAGGTATGTGGGAAATTGAGCTAGAAGCAGTAAGGAGTAGTCGGACGCATGCAGCCAAAAAGACCATTATTGTTGACAAGATCTAACCACAATATGTGAAAAAGAATTTTATTGCTCACTGAATGATTCTCATGATTCCACAACACAAAACATATCTTGCTTTATCTATATCTCTAAAACTACACAACTAAATACATTGAAGAATACATTACTCTGCATTAACTTGATTTCATCCCCTTGGCAACAGCAGTACTATCTGCACTTGCTTATAAGACAAGTCCAACTGCCAAAAGAACAGACCCAGACTTGACAATGCATAATGTAATGGCAAATCTGGGCCTGTGCACTTTGCAAGGTGTAATCAGTAAAACACAGACCCTGATCTGCAGATGCATTATGCTAAAGCAGATCAGGATCTTTGTTGTTTTGTGAGTATGTTTGTGTGATTTATACTTAATGTATATTTAACAATTTTTCAGTCATATCCCTACAAATCTCTGCAGTGTGACAGTTTACATCATGTCTGGTACCAGGGCATTATGCTACAGAAATGTACCATGATGTCCCACCCAGTCACAATATCCTGATACCAGGCCGACCAGACCTAACACTAGCCTCTTATTGCTGAGTGCCAAGCAAGACAGCTGTTTGTACCATTTCCTAAAATGTCTTTGGTATTATTCAGCCAGGGATCGAACCTGCAACCTCCCGCATCTGAGGTGGATGTTCTAACCACTAAGCCACCAGAGCAGTTTTGTTTGCTTTTTTTGTTATTAGTAGTTTGAGTCAACTTAAAAGTGAGTATAGATGGTAAATAGTCTTTTATTGCCACAAAAATTAGCATGAACACATCTCAGTGTAGCTTCTGTCTAACCCTCATAATACACATTAAGGTATCACATGACTATTCACCTCTTAGTAACACTCTATTTTTTCTTATGCCTCAGCTCATCTCAATTTTCATCCTCTTTGCTTTGAACACATTCCTAGTTTCACGATTCTTTGTGTTCTGAATCAATCCCACAAAAAAAAACTCAAATTAAAATAAAAATACATGAAAACTTGTAAAATAGTGCTTCTTGAACAATCTCTGCTAATTTTGGTAACTAACATTAAAAATGCAGATTAGCACAAATCTGAGCTGCCCTAATAAAGTAATTGAATTATTAACACAAACACATTAAAATTCACACCTGACTGAAGAAGTGTGTACATTGAGCAAATAAAATAAATCTGGAGCAAGATATTACATGTATTAGCTTCCTTTTGCTTCAAAATTGTTCTGTTCCTCCCCATCCTCACCACAGGGCATTGATATCATCCAAAAAAACAGAAGAAAATTCTTATCATATATACTGCTTATTTACTTTGTGAGAGACTGGTATACTATAATCCTTTATAATAAAATTTTTTCTTGCATCACTGTCTGAATGACAGTCCAATAGTGTCAGGAAATTGTAAATGGTTCTTCAAGATCCCCGAAAGAGACAGTCCAAAAATGTAGTTTTACTTTAAGCAAATAAATACAGTACTTAAATACCAGTATGTACAATTAAAAAATCTAATAAAAAAGATGCTCCAGCAGCCTCTATAAACTCCAGTCCTAAATTCAGAAAAAAAACCTGCATCTTTAAAAATTTAATGGTGAACAAATAGGAAATCAATAAAACTGTCCTTGTCCAACAAAGACTTTAAATTCTCCATTTCCTTCCATTGTCAGTCTTTAATACACAAGATAAAAGATAACAGACCAGTGACTAATTATGATTCACTTGCAACTGCTGTACTTGTGTAATGGCACACCTACATGACAAGACAAAGCTGCAAGGGAATTATCATACCTGAAAAATTCTGATAATTAACACATCAATCACTCAAATAGTCCATATCACTCCATACTTAAAACATCAATTGCTCAAACAGTCTGTATCACTTCAATGGCTCACCAACATTTTTGTGCAAAGCCTTCTGTTCTGCATGCAACTAGGGCTGGCATGATTAACAAAAAAGTCCATTAATCAATCAATACTATTATCAACATGTTTTATGTAAGCTATTTACCACCATCAATATGACTCATTCACACTGAATGTACCTTTACAATTTGTATTAGTCACAGGGGTTGGACACCAGATAGTCAATGCAAAAAATGATTTGCATGCTGTGATGTGATTATGATTTTTAATGTAGCTTTAACAATTTTTCAGTCATATGGCTATGATGTCTGCAGTGTGGCAGTTTGCAGTGATGTCTAGCACTGGGACATCATGATGTCCCACCCAGTCATATTATCCTGACACCAGGCCGACCAGTCCTAACACTAACCTCTTAATACTGAGCGCCAAGCAAGGCAGCTGTTAGTACCATTTTTGTAAGTCTTTGGTATGACTCAACCAGGGATTGAACCCATGATCTCCTGCATCTGAGGCAGATGCTCTAACCACTAGGCCACCAGAGTGGTTGATTTGCAACATATTCACATATTTATGATATTACATTATTCTTAGCTGCATTGACTAAAAATAGAACAAAGAAATCCCTACATTATATCATAATTATATGAATACCATTTGTACTTGCTTGTAAGTCTAGTACAATGCAAGTTGCATAGACCCAGATTTGCCATCACATAATATGCTCGTAGATGTGGGTCTACACAGCTTTTTTCAGGAGTTTTAAAGAAATAATTTATTATTAGTACTAGAACAAACAACATAGAACCTGCTTTGCCAGAACATTTTTGCTAGCAGATTAGGGTCTATGCTTTCTGCAATTGGACTCAACTTTTAAGTGAGTATATATAGTAACTACTGTCTGTGTATGCTCTTGGCCAATGAAAAGAGGGTATTCCATTCACTTCTGCACTAGTAATTACCGAATCTGAACTTCTGATCCCCTGTCTCATTACCTAGAATACTTTGTTCATGGCAAAAATTTACAAGAAAATTGGCAAAATGTCTAATGCATGTGCATGTAATAAATTGTCCAAATGCACTTGCTGGATTTCAGTTTAGATCAATGCAAGTGAAACTTACATTTTGCTAAAATTTTCTGTATCATCCTACCAAAGGAAGATGATGTCTCTCTGCCCTCATCTTTCCTATAGTGTTTTAATAATAACCTGAAAACTAAATCAACCAAAACTTTTTAATTATTTAAAATAATGCTATAACTATCTTATGCCATGGACTGTTGTGTGCAACTTAACATGGTTTTAGTTAAATTAAAATTCACAAATCCACATCATAAAAGTTTTTGATGATTTAGATCAGGGGTCTCAACCTCAAACCACCCATTTTTTATTTCACTTCATTTCAATGGCCCAGTTGAGGACCACACTACCTTTGTTATCTCACTGACACCTTGTAATACCAATCATTGTCTGGCCATAGGATATAGGTTGCAACCAATGGAAGGCATGTTTGAGACCAATGATTTTGAGTATTAAAACTCAATCTGTTAATAAGCTGGACTGATGATTAATTACTGCACTGGATCTGATTAGATTGTTATGCATGCAACCTCTAAAACTTAAGCAACCAAAATGTATCATAAAACTTCAAGACCCTCAGCACTGCTCAATTTTCAAGTTTCTCTTCATTTGCTTCATACCATTGGATTTTACCAGGAGAGACCACCAGCTTGATCTAACACCAGTAAATTTTGGGAACAAACATAAACATTGGAGTAAAAGTTTAAGGGCAAATTTTTAACATCAATGCATGCCAATTTTGATGAAGTGGATAAAGCAAATTTTCACTGAGATGGGGTCCTAGATTGATTCCTTCCGGATCCCCCAAAGCCCATACATAGAATCTTCATCACATCAAAAGGCAAACAACACTTGCCCACATCAATATATCACAAGCACTTTTTGGTGACCTTTTCTCCTCTACAAGATACAAAAAAGTGGTAGATTGCATACTCCAAGTCAAGATATTGGGGGGGGATGATGACACATTACTATACTTCAAGCAATTGTACAACATCTGATAATGAATAATTTTCCTGCAGCTTCCCTCTTACAAGTGCATGTTTCCTTTTCACAAATTGCTTAAAAGTTTCAAAAAGTTCAAGGAATATATCATTTGATGTGAAATCCATTCTTGAAAACAAATTTTAAAAAAATCATTTGCTTAATTTGGTGTTATTCAGTTGAATAAACTCCCCAAATAATTAGATGGGAAATAAATCTAAATGCAATGAAAACAAAATCTTATAAACATTATCTGGAAATGCAGATTCCATGGTAAATACTAAAATACATGTTTTGTAAATGCATATCATATGCAGTGTGCATTTAAGCATGCTTTATTATTATTTTGTTCTTGTGGTTGTATTTATAACAGTAGGTTCATCCTGAGTTCCTAACAGGGGCAGGGTTCCTGTACCACATGTACCAAATGATTTTTATTTTCCAGGTTTCCAGGAGACTTAAAGGAGATAATTACAAATTTCTGGAGTCATTTTTTAAAGTCTGATACTGATTAAATACATAATAATGCAGATGAAGGTACATTTTCTTACAATATTTATATATATTCAATGATAAACTGATAAAAAAATATCTTCCATAAATCAACCAAAACTTTTCAAAAATCAAACGATTATTTAGTTTTACAAATCACATCAGATACCTACAGTCATCTATTTCTTTTGTTTTAACCTTAATGTCTGCTTCAAGCTTTATAACAAGTTTCTCAATTAAACATTTACAGGATGACTACGTGTATTCTCTGCTTTATCTACAGTATTATAAAGTGATTATATGTCTTATTCTAGTCTTATCTTATTTGCTTTCAAACATTCAGCAAATTCATGATTTCTCTTCCTTTTTGATTTTTCCTTTTTTTTTCTTCTGCTGCTATCTCTTCCAGATGAGCCCTGTATTTGGACTATGCACCTGCATCTGCATTAAGTATGCCAATTAAAACTGATATTCCCAAGTCCTCCAGTGCTATTTAAATCATCATATATTGACCTCTTTGGAACAAGACACTTCTCCTGCATGTTGGCTGCCATTGTCTGGATGAAAAAATATTAATCTTGCCACTGTAGATATTACAAATCAAACTATGTGAATAAAGAAACTTCTAGTGCAGATAAACCAAATCGATGACTGCACATGCGTACAAACAATTAGGATGTATGCAAAAATCTCTTAGTTACCAGACTCGACTATGTCTATCAACATAATATGATGATCATTGCAAAATCATTCACGGCAAAGTTGCAGTGGGAAAATAAAAAGGTTTTTCACTATATATTACCTTTTGCTTTTTAATATCAAATCTGAAATTTATGACAAAAATTATTTTCAAGAATGTTTCCTGGACATTTTCATTGAATTAAAATTCCATTTGGATTCCAGGACCTCCTTAAAAATCAGGATGGCATGGGAACACTGAGGGGAGAGTAATTGAATATTATAACCCATTTACCATTAATAAAATACAGTATTTATTATTATTATTAATATTATTATATACATGATTCATTGGCATGTCAGCACAATATTGGCTACATAGTAGGTGTCAAACAATACACTTGTGCTGTGTATCAATACGATTATCGATATGCAGCCTGCTATATGATACATATCGACACACATATGAAACTGATAGCCTTGCCATCTTTGGAAGGTAGTTGGTGCACTTTCATGTATATTGACATTCTTGGTTGTATTTCCTGTATGTAGACAACAGACAAGAGTTATATTTTATCCAATGTTTTAGGCCATTTATTGGAGGATTCATTCAACTCCATTTGTTTTGTACAAGGTGAATGATTTGAAAACACATTATTACCAATTTTATGTCACAGTTACACTTGGAAGACATTACAATTATTGCATTATTTCTTTGAAGAAATAATGCAATTTCTTTGTGCAAAGAAAATCTCATTTAGAACAAATCCAGGCATTGAGAATAAGGTTGAGTACCAACGAAATCTATCATATTTATTTCCTGTAGATGCAAAAGACTGCTGCAGTGATAGTACTTGTATTTATTAGTGAAGAAGGAAAACTATTGACTACACCCAGTTCTATTCTAGTTTTTTTAAAAATTTACTCAAGATGGCAAACTTGAGCAGTTTGACATATGCCATTGCTCATTCTATGATAATTTCATTTATTCCATCAGCACCTTTATTCACCGTTTATATATTTCTGCATATAAAAAATAAAATTCTATATTTTTTTCCCCCAAGTACAATTTAACAATAGATCATGACATGATTTTATGTTTAGAGAAATCTCTCCCTCTATCAAAGCAAAAAGGCAGGAAGAAGAAATAGTCATAGGTCAATATTTATCTCAACTTCAATTAGTCTCTCTCTTCCTGCTTCACTTTCTTAAAATTAAAAGTAGAAACTTTTCGTGAAAGTGGTTATTAAATGATGATTAAGGTACTTCATTATACACGTGGAACATGTTTGGAATGTATAGTATATGCTGAACATACTTCTGGGTTAAGATAATTAACATGAAATGGTGTGTGTGTGTGTGTGTGTGTGTGTGTGTGTGTGTGTGTGTGTGTGTGTGTGTGTGTGGAGGACTGATTACAAACCATGTCACTGTGTTAACTTGTAGACAGCGGTGGGTATTCTCAAATAATCTTTTTCATTTCTACTATAATAAAGATGAGTTCCTGTGACTGCAAATGCTGTTTCAGATGGATTATAATTTTACAAAATAACAAAGCAATGAGCAATTTTATAAAAAAACAAAGCAATTCATGACTGCTGAAGACTAAAATAGCATGCATACGGTAAGTATCATTTTGAATCAAATCTGTCTCTTGAATCGATATGTGTACCATTTCAGCATAAGTGCTGATGCATCGATATATCATTTCACCCCTACTTCATAGTCCTACAAAGTTTTGCTGTACAGTAATTATTTAAAATTAACTTCTAAAAATATCAACTTACAAATCTGGCTCCCCCCCAAAAAAAAAACTTGAGGAAGATACAAATAAACACAAAATTGTAGCCCTACAAAATAAAAGATAATAGGCAAAGACACTAAAATTTGTAAAGTTATATAAAATAAATGACAATGGAAAACAAAATCCTCAAAATATTTAGTTTTAATCAATGATTAAGACTGCAATCTTTCGAAAATTCAAAGATTTTCTCTGGTTGGATATAGTTCTGCAATGACTGTTTACTAAACACTTTTTTGAAAGTATGGTCTATATGGATATGATACAGAATAAGGGCTTCGGACGAAGCCAAGAGAATAGAAAAGCAGGACCCCTGTCAGATTTTCCTTCAAACGTAGTATCAACAATAATTAGTCTCAACTGGATTTGGATGTTTTATGGCACAGCAACATTTTGAAGGTCATATGGTGCTGAGACAAGTAACCTTTTCCAAGGACACAAGGTAGGTGATCCAATTTTGGGAATTTAAATCAACACCTTCAGGTCAGTGTGGCTCCAATCAAAACCTATGT